AGAATAGAATAGAATAGAATAGAATAGAATAGAATAGAATAGAATAGCAAAGAGTAGAATAGCAATAAGAATAAGAATGTAATAGAATTTAAAATAGAATAGAATAGAAATAGAATAGAATAGAATAGAATAGCAATAAGAATAAGAATGGAATAGAATAAAATAGAATAGAATAGAATAAGCAGTAAGAATAGCAATACAAATAACAATAAGAATAGCAACAAGAATGGAATGGAAGAGAAGAGCTTTATTGGCTAAGTGTGGTTGGACACGCAAGGAATTTGTCTTCAGTATTCAGTGCATAAATATAAATATGATGTTTAAAATCAATCTGGAATCCCTTTGTGTTAAGCAATTTAATATACCATGGCTTGTTGGCAGGGGTGGGATTCAATTTTTTTAACAACCTGTTCTGTGGGTGTGGCTTAGGTGGTGGGCATGGCCAACTCAATATAACTCACATTAAGACACACATCTCCTCGCCTGGCCTCTCATGACTGTGGGGATGCTGCAACAGTTGTAAGTGTGAAAAATGGTCGTAAGTCACTTTTTTCAGTGCCATTGTAACTTTGAATGGTCACTCCACACAAGCAAAGTACCAGCAAAGGAGGGGAAAAAAACTCCAGAGAAGTTCAGAGACAAGAAGTCTAGTCCTGCCAAGAATGTAATAAGGGTTAACACAGAGGCAGTTTCTGTAAGCAATTCCAGAATGTTTTCTTCCTGCCTTCCTTATAGGATTAGGCCAGTAATTTCTTCTAACAACCAGTTCTCCAAACTGCTTAGAATGTTAACAACCGGTTCTAGTGAATAGGTGCGAACTGGAAGAATCCCACCCTGATTGTTGGTTATGTTCACAGGACAATGGCAGGGAACATCAAGCACTCTAAGCCAGAACCCAACAAACCACATTATGGTTTTATTATGATGTTTATATTTGGTTAATAAGTATATTTCTATTAACAGTACAATGAAAATGACTCTTGGTAGCTTATATAGGAAAAAAGTACAATCTCAAACATACTCAGTACAAAAGATAAAAATCAACAATAAAACAGGAAGATATTCAAATGAAAGAAAAATAATAGCAACATCAAATCAAAACTATCTTTATAAGTGATAATTTATAGGGTTGCACAAATATGATTGAATGTGTTATTATTTCAGTAGTATTGGGAACAAATGATGGCTTGGAGTTGCTTTCTTCAAAAACCCTTGACTATTATGTATTTAAGTGGATAAAAAAAGGAGGCAAGCAGAATTCTGTATCTGCCCTAATTGAGATAATCTCTAGGCTTGTGCAGCCTGGCCTAGCAGGATAATAACAATTTCCCCATCCAGGTCTTAAAAGCATTTTATTTTTCAATACAGTGGCTCTTATCTGTCACTTACATTTCTGCTTTTCTCTAGTATATTCAGCCATTTTCCTAATCCATCTTAATTGTTTATGTTATCACATTTCCCTGCCGGAATTAAAAGCACAGATAGGATCAGATTTCCTAAGCACCAAGGATATTAGTAGGAAATTATCCACTGATCCACAACTTACCTTAAAATATAGTTGTACTTGATAATTTCACTGAGTTTTCCTTGACTTTTAAAAATCTTCTTGGTTTGTGAATAAACCTGTTCCTTGCATATAATACTAACATATTCCTGTAGAAAGTTTGAATCATACAGACGTTGTAAAGGAAATAAATATCCATTAGAATGCAGTAGTATGAAATTAATGGTTGGATTTCCAATTGATCAAGAGGAAAATGTGCCTGGTACACAAATGACTTGATTTTTTTTTAAAAAAGGATGTTGTTACATTTTCTGCAAAGTGGTAGAAATGATCTAAAACACAACCACTCCCCATTCCATAGCCCAACATGGCTTATTGGCTTGATAGAACATGGGTTGAATAACTCTGATATCCTAAACTTTTAAAAGTTGCCAATCTCTGTTTTAATATGATATAGGAAACCATCCTGTTTGTTTCCGCAGCAAAAAAAATCCCAGTTTAAACATTGCTTTTGGTCATTAAGGAGAAATGTTCTGACAGTGAGAAAAATCAACCGATGGAACAGAAGTTGTCTTCAGAAGTTGTGGGAACTTCATCACTGGAAGCTTTTCAAGAAGAGACTGGACTGGCATCTGTCAGAAATTGTGTAGGGTCTGCTTGGGTGGGGGGTTGGACTAGATGACCTACAAGATCCCTTCCAACTTTATTAATCTGTACCTGTATCTGTATTTTTTGCAAGGCTAGCACAAAAGAGTAAAATCCAGACACATTCAAGACACATTCTAATGCAATGTTTCTCAACTTGGTCGCTTGAAGATGGGTGGACTTCAACACCCAGAAAGCTATAATGGCTGGGGAATTCTGGGAGTTGAATTCCAGCCATCTTGTTGAGAAACACTACAGTAATCTAATTCTTACATGTGGAACACAGCCAATTGTTCAGAAAATACATTATGCAAGATGGTGGACCTCGCCACCTACTGGTGCTTTCTGAGAATTACTTTATTCCCATCCAACAAAGAGATTTTTTTAGGAGAATGTTCTTTTAAATAAAAGATTTTTAATTTTAAAATTTTCAATTTTAAAGGATTTTTTGCCTGTTTCCAGCCTTTTCAGCCCATTTCCAGCAAAAAAATATGCCCTTAGGAATAAGATTCACTTAATGACTTAATGATTGCTGCATTCCTTTAACAACTGCTGCATTAATGTAACGACTACCACAAAAATGTTGTAAAGTAAGATCTGGTCACATTGAGTGCCTCTATTTATGACTGATACGACTTATGGTGGAAATTCCATAGTCCATTATGGTCATAACTCAAGGACTGCTTGTACTGAGGGTTGATTTATACAGGGAAACTACTAGAAATGCTTGCTTTCTGTTTATATGAGTTAGCATATTTGTTTTATGCATGATATTTTTCTACAAGGAAATTATTTCTAAATCATTTCTCTTGGTTTGTTACAGATTCTCCATCTCCATTTTGTGTTTTTAAGGGTGTTTTTTTTTCTTATGACCACATAGGAAACACTTGTGGCTATAGCTCTTATAAAGCCTCTGGTTTGTTGCCTCTCCTATTCCATATTTA